GGGTTAAAGTGAAGTTTGTTTGGTTTTTTTATGGTTCTGTGTTTTGGGGGTTTTTTTGGTTCAAGGTTATTACTCTAATATTTTGTTGGCCTTTGGTTGTTTTAATCGTAACATCTGCGTCATAGTAAATGGATTGAATGAAACATCTCAGAAGTATAGTAGAACATGTGATTGCATATCTGTTGCTGATTCACCGTTATAATGGGAAAATCCCATTGCTATTTTAGTCTTTCTACTTGGGATCTGCAAAGAATGCATTTTCTTACTTTTGACTGCAACTTTGACATTTAAAGAAATGCTTGCTGTAATGAGGCTTCTGTGTTTTATTCACTATGAGAACATTTCAAGTATTTACATAATAATAATATTAAGAGACTATATATCATAATGTACAAAATTTAATTTTTGCTGTCATTAAAAAAAAACCAAACCAAAACACAAAACCAAACCTAAATGCAAACTCCCACACTCAGATCTTCTAGATTGTTCATAAAGCACGGATATAGGTACATGTGGAATAAAGTAGCTTTATATAGTTAAGAAGGAAGAGAGGGAAGCCTTTTATTATTCTTGTTCAGAAAATGTTCTTTTTACCTCATTAATTTTATGATTGTTTTATTAGTGAGGCAAAAAATGGTTATGAGGAAAAGTACAAATTCTCGTGAAGATGATGCCTGTAACTGCTCTTAACAAATGAACTGAGAAAAGATAAAACTCTTGCCCTGTTTTGAGAAAGCTGCTTGTTCTAGCTGTACTGAATGCAGGAATTATAAAAACAAAATAGGATTCTTGTTATGCTCATTTGCATGTTAAATATTCTGGATGTTTTTCCAGCTCCCAGTTATTTCAAAGCAGTCCGAGTGTTTGAGCTCTGGGAACAAACCAAATGACTTACAATGCTCTTTGGTGTGCAGATGACCCCCTTCCCTAAAAATCTGCTAGTCCAAAGTGGAGCAAGTTGATGATTGTACTCTTTGAAATCATAATGGGCTGCTGGGAGAAACTCTTCATATCAGCTTCTGAAGTACATGGCTAAAGAGAATATTTGAGAGGGTACAGATAGGCAAACAGTATTCATTTGCTCAGTGATGAAAGTCATTAACATTACTGTTTTCTTCATAGTCAAATTTGAAATAGCTTGAATGGGTTAAGCAAATAAGAAGTAGCCCAGCAGTGAAGTGCTTTAGACTAAGTTCAGTTGCTTTTTAAAGTAGGAATTAGCCTACACGAATTAACGCTTACAAAATGCCTGTATGAGGATGAATTTCAGATCAGAAAGTTGGTATTTTAATAGTTTAATGCTCTATCCACTGCAAAAAAACACCAAAAATCCCAACCAAACCACACCCCCCCACCACCCCCACCCCAGCAGATCTGTAGGAGGACTTAGGGATTTTGTCAAGTGGTATCTGTGACAAAATAAATGAGGCAGCTCATCACAAGGAAAGTATCCCTAATGATCCATTAGCAGTAATGGGCTCCAAATCCTTGCTCAGAGAAGAGATCGTGAACCTTTTGGACATTGGACATTGTCACCTTTAATACTCAGTAACAATCAAAAGGCAAATAGAGTCATAGAATCATTTAGGTTGGAAAAGACCGTCAACATCATCGAGTCCAACCATCATCCATGCCTACTAAACCATGTTTTGGAGTACCTTGTCTATGTGGTTTTTGAATATCTCCAGGGATGGTGACTCAACCACTTTCCTGGGCAGATTATTCCAATGTCTGACAACCCTCTCAGTAAAGAAATTTTTCCTAATATCCAACCTAAACCTCCCTTGCTGCAACTTGAGGCCATTTCCTCTCGTCCTATCTCCAGCCACCTGACAGACGAGACCAGCACCCACCTCACTACAACCTCCTCTCAGGTAGTTGTAGAGAGCGATGAGGTCTCCCCACAGCCTCCTCTCCTCCAGGCTGAACAACCTCATTTCCCTCAGCTGCTCCTCATAAGACTTGTGCTCCAGGCCCCTCACCAGCTTGGTTGCCCTCCTCTGAACACGCTCCAGCACCTCAACATCTTTCTTGCAGTGAGGGGCCCAAAACTGAACACAGTACTCAAGGTGCAGCATCACCAGTGCCAAATACAGGGGAAAATGGTTAGGCTAGGAACAGAATGAATTATTGTTATGTCTTTGTAAATCAGTAAGTGTGTCCCAGACTTTTTTTGCACATTTTATGCAGGAAGGAATTAGTAGAGCTAGGAAAAGTGAGGATGAAGGGAAACCAGATCTGCAATGGAATGGCTTCTACACCAAGAAAAATTAAGCAACTAGTAAAGCTGTGACAAAGCTGTGTGAAGTTGGGAATGGGGATTATGAATAGGAGGCAATTGTTCACCATTTCTCTGAAGATAGGAGCTGAAGGATGTCAAGTGAAACTATCAGACAGCAGGTCTAAGATAAAAGGAAGTGTTTTCTTATGCCACACATAATAAGGTGTGGACCTCACTGCCACAGGATGGTAGTAGAGGTCAAAATTATAAATGTACTCAAAAGGGGTAGGACAAATTCAGAGAAAAGTCTGTCAGAGGCTGGTCAGCATAGACTGTGGATGCAGTCTCTGTGCTGGGGTGCCCCAAAGCTGCAGAGCCCCAGCAGCTGGGGGAGCATGGCAGGCTTGCCTTGCTGCTAGTGCTCAGTCTGTCTGCAACAGGCCACCATCAGCAGTGGCATCGTGGGCTTCAGAGACTACACATCTGAGATACTATATTTAGCCTAATGGTCTTCACCACCTTGCCTCCTTTCAGCAGTTACAAGTTGCAGCCAGCCTTCAACTTCTTTTTCTTTCTCTCTCACACTCATACTTTTTTCTTACTCCCCCCAGAAAGTAACTCTTTCTTTCTCCAAACTTGGGAGATACATTGATCCTCTTTCAAGCTTCTTGATTTTATTTTTCCCTGGAAAGTTACCCTTGAGTCTTGTTACTCTTCCTGGGAACGCTAGCGCATGGTTTGTTTAAATGCATTAGCCTCACGTAGGCACGCATCTTACTATATACCTGTTGAGCTCTCCTGACTACCTGTGGTCTAATTGACACACCCATCTTTCCCTAGAAGCTGCAGGGATGTCCTGTTTGATTTCTTTTTTTCCCCTTGTGTGAACTTGGCACCAAGTAGATCTAATGATGAGAAGGTTGTGTGCAGTCAGGGACAAGGAACAGGGATGGGGATTGTGGTACACCAAAGTCCTTGAGGATCTTGTCTGTAAGTGTGACCAAAGAATGATAGTGTATGTGGCAGGAAACCTTTCTTCTCTGCTCTTACTTGTGCATAAATTTACTTGCATTCCTCAGTTCTGGAGGGGACAGGACAGAGGTACTTGACCTTTCTCCCACTACCTCTTTTCCAGGAGCAAGAAATACATGCCTGGTAGGTCCATTCAGGTACCTCTCTGTTCTTGCTATTGAACCCCAACATTAGGGGAATGAAGAAATATCAGTAGGTGCCTCAGATAGGCTCCTTCAAGCTCTTGAAATTCCTAAGTAATAGAAAACTGTTCATATTTTAATATTTTGGCATGTAGTAAAGAAACCATTTTACTTTTGTGCGTTTGAGATTAGTAGGTGCAGTCTGGTCAGGCACAATCTTATATAAAAACTTCTTTTTAGGTTATCCTACCTTTTCAGGTAGGTTGAGTTGAGGAATTTTCATACATCTGGACGACTTCCACGCATATGGGTGTGGTGGGATTTAATTTCTGAGCCTGTCCAAGTGCCATGGGAGTTCAAAGCAAGTACTGCTGTTCCTATTTCCACGCCTAAATCGCTTGTACCTAGTGTACACAGAACTGGAAGCAGGAGGGCTATGTTCTGTTCTGCTCATCTGGTTCTTCCCAGGGTAGTGCTGGGAAGCAGAAGCTGGATGAAGTTACTTTGTAGTGCATAGCTGGCCTGTAAGCCTAACAGGAGCAGTCTGCACTGGATAATAATATGTTCATTTAAACAATGCTAATAATCAGCGTCCATTCTTGGGATGTGCAAATTGGAGTGTACAATGAGTTGCAAGTACAAGGGAGCCTTGATAATTGGGGAACAATTTGCTTAATTATGTTGTTCTTAGTCAATGTGTCATTAAAACAATGAGAAAGTTAAATCATTGTTTAATGTTTGACGGTGTCAATCTTTTCCAGTCTCCCAGATAATTTAATAGTCAGGATACATGAATTGGGAAGGAAAAAAGAAGTTACTTTAGAATATACATTAACAGGAATTGGATAAGAATTATAAAGACAGGTTTATTTAAAAAAAAACAACCAACAACAACAGAAAAAAACAACCAAAAAAACCCCCACAAAACTGCAACATCCCCCCCCCCCCAAAACCCCGATCCAAAATAATAACAGCTAAACCACAACTGCTTCATTTATTGCACTAAAATAAAAAGTTGGGGTATGCAATGAGGGGGCTTAGTAGGACATGGTACCTGTTGTACCTCTGTGTTATTTTTATAGTTGTAAGGGATCTTCCATTGCAAAAGCAGCATTTTTCCTGTTGCTTTTCAGATATTGAGAGAGGCCGATTTGTGACTGGTCTCTAATCTCGAATGTTGAAGTGACCTTGGTCAAAAAGGGAAGAATATGTGCAAGCACTGACTCAGGTTACCATATTCAAGTAATAACCTATGGGCCTTTGTCTGCTCTTGATTAAAACAACAGATCTGTGTTCTTAGCTGTCTTACTGCAGCTGTCAGCATCTTTGTTCTTTCTGTGACCAGAAAACAGATTAAATAAGTCATTAAATAAGGCATAACCTCTGTTTCCAAGGCATACTTAAGAAATGTATTACGGTTTGAAAAAATATAAAGAGATTGTAAGGATTTATATATAAATGCTCTGAAACAAATGTTAATATCCAGATGTTCTTATGTCCACTGATTCTACAGTTTTGAATTAAAACCCCTGACTTTTCTCATCCTCTGTTAATAAATCTTTTTTGGTAGCATTGCAAGACTACTTCTTCATTGTAAAGAGAATGCTTTGCTTCTGTGTTTGCAGATGCTGTGAAGCCACCAGTCAGTTCCTTACAACCATCTGCTGAGTTACCCTTGCCCATCAACACTTCACCGCCTTCCATGCAAGCAGAATCTTCCCTACCTCCTCCTTATCAGCTTATTAACATCCCCCCACTGGAGTCTTCCTCTGGTCAAGAAGATCCTCAAGACTACCTACTGCTAATAAACTGTCAAAGTAAAAAACCTGAACCTATGAGGTAAGTGACATTTTTTTCTTAGTAACACTTATTTGTATTACAGGCCAAGAATGTTCGTGCTAAAAGCACTTTTTTTATTGCGGAGTCATTGAACATTTGGATGCGCATAATCTGTGGGGGGAAGCTGCCTGTAACTTTTGCTGCTTTTCTTCCCTGTGATGGAACTTTTTGCAGCAATAGTAAGTTGTTTGATCAGCGCTAGACCCATATTGCATTCTTCAAAAGTGTGGACAGTAATTGCCAACATGAAGTATCAGATAAATGCAGCGATCCAAGCATTTCATTATAGCTTGGAGTTGTGCATGGCACAGAGTGGAGAAGTGCCCTTTCTTTAGCCACAATCTGGTGTGTTTAGTCCAGTCTAGGACTAGAAAAAGCCAGAGAAATTTAGCCTTTCTCTCTTCTGGTATTTGGTGCCCCAGTTTTGCCAGTTAAAGCTTTCATGGAAGGGATACAGTAAAACATGCTGATATTTATTATCACCTGCCAGGTTACCACATCACTGAATATAGCAATCCTCAAATGGTACTTGTTGACTATTACTAACATGGTTCAGACTCTCAAGCAAGAGTAAAAGATAATTATTTTATGGTAACTAAGAATGCAGGAGACTTAAACCACTCAATTTCTGTATCCTGAATTTTAACTTTTTCAAATAACAGGTAATTAAAAATAAGCTCAAATAAGCCTTATTTTTTACTGAATAAAGAATATCCAAACAGTCAGTTCTCCAGAGAAGCGTGCAATAGGAAATTTTAAGGAAAGAATTGGCAGCTTCTACTAAATTAAGTGTATATTTATTTCTCCAACTCCTACTTCTAACTTAAACAGACGTACAGCATCTCCTGCATGAGAGGTTATGATATTTATGGTAGCTACCTGAGAAATATTACTATATTTTTTCAGAATGGATCATGGCAGCCATACCTGAAGCAGGCTGGCCAGGGTCTTAGTGGAATATCCGTCCTCTGAGATTTTTAAAAAAAAAAAAAAAAGCCAACCACAAACAAACTTGACTAGACAAGGTCCTAAGGAGCCTTACCTGACTTTGAAGTTGGCTGTGCTTAGAGGTATTGGAAGAGCTGGACCAGGTAATCTCCAGAGGTCCCCTCCAACCTTGAGTATTCTGTGGGAGAGCCTTATAAATCTCTCTGGCAGACCTCTTTTCTACAGTAAGTTAAAATAAAATCTGCTGGGGTATTTCCAGAAAAATAAACAAAACGTCATATTCTTTTTGTGATTGCATACAAGTACATGGAAGGCTGAGGAAAGCTTCCTTTGAAAGTGTTTTCATGAGTATTTCACATACTCCCTTAGGGCCATACCTTTTAGTGGCGGTGCCTTCTTCATCAACACCTTGATGCTCTGCCAGTTTTACCTGTGCCATGTGCTCTCCGCTCCCTTGGCATTTTTATCTTGCTCTATTGTGCCTAAGGTGTTTCCTGCTCCGTTTACTGATGATTACATGGTAGAAAAGTATCCACCCTTTACAATCTTTCTTATAAAACAGAGGAATGAGCCTACAGTTCTCCTAGTGTATGGAATGTGCAGGTTACGGGCAGCATGGCATGCCCCAAAGCCTCCTGCAAGAGAAGGGGAAACCCAGTGTTTGCTTTCTCAGTGTTAAAGGTTTCAGCATTTAGGGATGTTTAGAAGCTGATGGTGCCCAAGAGATATGTCACTATTCCTGCCAGGAGCTGACAAAAAGTTCAGTATCATTTCCTGAGCAGCTTGGCAGAGAAATCTTGACTTTTCATTTCAGCACCCTGGCTCATCAGAAATGTGTCTGAGTGCCTGTTTGCTTCTGCGAGGGATGGGCACACAGTGGATTTCAAACACCACCACGTCAAGTGTGGTTTTAGGAATGATCAAGGTTGGGATGTGTAATTGACTTTCTGACCTGACTTCCACAGTTGTGTGATGTGTGGGTTAAGTAGAGGGAGTGAAGTCTGATGAGACCATAAAAGGGGGCACAAAACATGGCAAGGTATAGAGTCCATGAATAGCCTGCAAAATTTCTTGAGGAAGACACTGGTGACATAGGAGAGAAGGTATTTGGGTGTTGGGGAGGGCAGAAGGTCCAATGGAGATAAAATGCTGAGGGAACTGAGAAAGAACTGAACAAAGTCTTTGGGAGTATAGAGATTGTTTAAATAAATGATGTTTTTCTAGGAATATTTGAAGACAGTGAAACATTGGCATTGTGATTACTTGGAAATTATATGGGCTTAATGTCTTATATTTAACTAAATTCACTAACTAGCTATGTCCTTTTATTAGGAAGGCTGTAATAATGAAAATTTAGAATAATAGTTGTTGGGAGTTTCAGTTCCACCTAAAATGACTGCTTATGTTTCATGTCTGGTACCATAGGTATTCTGCTGGATTTAGGCTGCAGTATGGAGGTTATAGACCTTTTCCTATGGAATTAGAGCTATGTGTATCTGCATAGCATATTACTAAGATGATTAGTTAGAGGGCACCCTGTGCCCTACCCCAATCCACGTCCTGACAGGTCAAGAAAAAAATTAAATGCCTGCATCATTTTCCTATTGATTTCCAGGCTTGGAACAATTTATCTGTGTATTTCATACAACCTTTTTTCCTTAGTGTAAAGTGCAAAGCTTAATAGATGTAATTAAATAGGCAGGTATTGTTACTGGAACAGTTTATTTCTACGACTTTTTCCCTTTAGACTTTAATGTTGACAATATGCAGAGGGAACGTTTTCTGTTCTAATTTTGCATGTTAGTTTATAGATAATCTGGGAACCACAGAATTTTATTTCAAGGTTTTGGGGTTCTTTTCCAGGTGAGACAGGTAACTGTGTAACATAGAGGAAGTATCCCAGCTGCCTCTTTGAAATTTTTAAGAATTGTGGTTAAGAATTTGTTATGAACTAACAAATAATTTTTAAATGCTTCATTACAGTGTCATGCAATGCACCACATACTGTTGTGAGAATATCTTGGACACAGCACTTGCAGCTGTAATAATCATGCTGTATTTTGTCTAAAATAGTTTTATGCTCTGATCACTGTTAACTTGAGAGAAAGCATTGTTCGACTGTAGCATTTAGTGAGATTTTAAGGTTCGTATTTGGATCCTAAATAAGAAAATGCAGCCAAAGACAGTTTCCAAAACCCTTATTGTTCTGGCTCATTCGAGAGATATATTGCAATACTAAACACTGTCTTCCTCATCTTTCCTATGTTTATGAACCAGCCAAGGGTCACCCTTTCTCTCGGAAGAAGGGCAGGAATACCTGCTATTAGAAGATTTTGAAAGTAAAAAGATTCCACTGCAGTGAGTGAACAGTAGCCATATTTGGAACACGTGTGAAAAATTAATCACAGAGCCATTAACTTGCCTGAAAATACTGTTTGTTTGAGATGCGTCTTGCATGGTGTTCTGTAAGTTTTAACAGAGAAACTATGTAACTTTGGCTTCCATTTTCTGGAAATAGAGCTGGTTTAATATTTATTTATTTATTCACATTTTTACTGCGCTTGCTGTTTCTTTCCCAGATTGCTGGCCCACAAGAGCAGTTTTGCTGCCACTTAGTTCATAGTATTCTGTTTGATTGCTCATATCGATTCCTGCAGATGGGAAAAGAATCAGCTCGAAAGAATGAGTGGTCAAGCCAGACCCAATACAGCATATTAAAAATGGGATGATTACCCCTCAAACTGAAACACTTTTAAAACTTTTTTCTTGGGTGTCTGTCAACAAGTATTTTTAGTATGTGGAGGCAGGCTTTTTATTGGGCTCCCCCTGCCTCAATACCCCACCACTTCTCTGTGCATCTTAATGTCCAGTCCTTGTAGATCAGCAGGCTGTACAGTTATCTCTTCTTGATATGTGGAAAGAGATGTCCAGTCTTAGCACGGAGTAAGGAATAGTTTGGCCACTTAGCATAATTTGTAGATATGTGATGCCTGCATTTGATAACACTGAACTCATGTCACAGTCATCCTCTTCTTATAAATAGGGTGAGGAGTCTTCATTGTTATATCCAACTTTGCCATTATTTTAAACTGACGTGTTAAAAAACATTCATATTTATGTTAATAACCAGTTGTTAATGGAATATTTAAGCTAATTGATTGTTTTGTTTGAGCTGTTCTGAAGTGCGTGGGAAAAATAAAAATTTTCAGGTAACTTTCTTAACTGCAGAAGTCATCAATCATCCTGTATCTGAAATCCTTTTTTAAAAAAAGCAGGAGTAAAGTCTGTCCCTGAACAGTAGTCCTAACCTAAATTTCCTTGAGGTAACATGAATCAACTATGCATTGTAGATTTTCAAAATTGTACATGGTGTTCTTATGATCAGTGGTTAATACTGACTTTTGAAAGCTAGTTAAACTTCAGAGGCTGAATTCCCTGTCTTCGTTTTGATGTAAACTGCTTTCTTGGCCCATGTTTCAGACTGTCTTCAAACTTTCAGTCTTGCAAAATCAGATTAGTTACAACCCACCTATGTTTTGAAAACTATTTCAATAGACTAAGAAGTTGATTTCAAAAGATTACTTTTAAAACCATGAAGTAAATCAGAAATGCCCTCTTATAATGAGAAATGTAAGTTTTTGCTATCAGCTGAGCAAATGACAGGCCTGGCTGCCTTGTGTCATGGCTTTTGAAAGTCGTCTGTTTTCACAAGTGCTTGTGGTCAAGAAAGAAGCAGCAGCATTCACTTAGACCCATAAAAACTCCTGAGTTTAAAAATGATAGTGTTTGTTGCTTACGTATGATGGGTAATCCTTAAGCACTGGCCTTGTACGTGTGCTGTTGTTGCATTTTGAGCTTTGGTTATATACTCCTGCATGTTTTTGTAAGATAAATGTAGTGTTTATATCTTATTTCTGTAGTTTTGGAATTTTTTCATTTTAAAGTATATCCTAGTGAACTGGAACTAATAATTTTGGTTCTACAATTGATTGTCAGTGTCCAGCTTCTCTAGACTGCCCACTTTATTTTTATAGCATGTAAAATACAGATCACAATCCTTGCCATACTTGCTTATGTAAAAGACACGTGACTTTTGCTGGGACTTTGGTCTGAATGAATATCACAGAACTAGAAGAGTACATCCAGAAAGTGAGCAACTCCTGAATGAATTCTTCAAGAGCAAGGGCTGCAGCTGGGGCTAAACTCAGAGTCTTACTAGTCACACAGTATGTGCACAATTTATTATGCACTCTGTAACGTCATGTAATTCCTTCAGTCCTATGTGCTCTATTTTTTGTCTGTTAAACTTGCAGTGGTTTCTTAGTGAATTTTTGAAGCTCTGAGGCAAAGGAAGTAAACTGTTAGCAAATGAGATATGTTTCTGATAGTCAGCATCATAAGGAATATAAGTTTTACTTCCTCAGTTGTGCCAAGGGTAAATACTTAATGAGAACATTCTCTTCTCTTTTTTGGGGTCTGTTAAACCAAATGCAGATTATTGTTTGGAGCCACCTAGGAACCAATTCTTACCAGTGAGGCAGAACTTAAATCTGTGTTTAAAATAGTAACCAGAGCAACATTAGTGTACTTTTTTCTAATTAAAAAAACCCACACCAAAAAAACTAAGAACAAGCTAATAGAAAAAAGTGATTTAATTAAAGCCAGAGAAGAACTCTCATAAGCCGCTTGGACTGATGGAAGATTGTACCACTGCTATTAAACAGAACAAAAACCAGTTGGTTAGGTGAATGACATTTCTCTTTACTGCAGATGTCCAGTCTAAGCTAATCACGTCTGTTCCCTTGACAGCTAGCAGAGAGGCACTTTGGGAGTGATTCATCGGGTTTAGATGGATATCTAAGAAGAACAGATTGTGTTTCACACAGTCTCCATTTCTCCAATGACTGCAGAGGAAACCTAAATGAATAGCTAAACTGGATTCCTTTCTTCTCAGGTTACCAGAACCCTGAGAGATAAATCCAGCTGTCCCTTAAGAAAGTTTTGTGCAATCTTACCGACAAATTGAAATATGAATAATAAATTTTGGTTGTGATCACTTTGATGTAGAGAGCCCCTTCAAATAAGGGAAAAAAATGCTTCTTGTGGTAGTCATGCTGTTGATTTTTATATATTTTATTCCTCAGAAGTTTTGTAAACTGCATGGTCCAGTTGCTTAATACAGCTTAGTAAGAGTAGTATAGCAGCTATTCATTGATACACACTCATGCTGAAATATTTACATACATATCTATAAATTAACACAATGGTATGGTACTGTGGTAAGGAAAACAGGAAATATCATGATATGGTTGATCAAAAAGTATATGGACTGCCTTAACTCCACCTGTGTTAGTATTTTGCCACTGTCTTGACTTTCATTTAAGCAAGGAGTCAGACTGATAACAGAATTTCTTTGCCTGGAGCAAGGTAAAAGGGGAGGTTTGTTTTTAAAAAAAAAAAAAAAAAAATTGTAATGTGTTTACTTTCTGTGTAAGTTTATTGGTAATGGTTAGTACCAGTACTAATGAGTGCTATTCTCATAAAAGATAGAATTTCCAAAGACAGCAAAGGTAAACTACTGTGCAGTTTTATCTAACAACACTGCCTTAACTTGCATTCAAGACAAAAGCACTCTGTTGCACATGCATCCTATGGATTCCTCCCCCACTCCCCTGAAGAGCATGCTATCTTCCTCCTATTTCTGTTCTTATCTGTTATTTCTTTCTCCGTTATGTATTTCAAACCAGTATTATATGGTCAATAGATAACTTTAGGCATACACTTCAGAGTGTTATAAGCAGTCATGGTTTTTCCTCTAACATTTTTTTTTCATGCTGATTAGAACTAGTAAGTACTGTAAACCCAAGGATTAAGTGTATTATTTTAACCTTTAACAGTGCCATTAAAGTGCTGCTAATTTGCAGCATGGGGGGGGGGGAAATTCCCCACCCCCAAACAAACTCTGCTCCAAATTGGCATCATGGAAATCACTTGCTGTATGAAACATCAGCTTGTTGTTTAGCTGCTGCTAAAGGTCCACATTTGTGTTACCCATTTCACATGCATGGGTTTGTATGTATGTAGTTACTTAGGATCCTTCTTAAGTACTGCTGTTTGTTTAATAATTGAGTTCCTGCATTTCATTTTTAAAAAAAAAATTAAGAATTGGAAGACACTGGTAGACATTTTAGTTGTTTACATTTTAAATGTTGTGTTTGTTATTTGTAATGTTTGTTTTTCTTTATATGTTCATCAGCATTTTAATCTTACCATCTTATGTGTAGATCTCATGCTGACTCAGCAAAATCCAGCTCTTCTGAAACAGACTGCAATGATAATGTGCCCTCCCACAAAAATCCTGCTCCATCAGCGAGCAAGCATGCTGTGAATGGCTTTTTTCAGCAGCAAGGTGTCTATGACTCTCCACCTTCTCGTACTGGACTGACACTGGCAGACTGCAGCCTTTATAACCTGCCTAGGAGTTACTCACAGGATGTTTTACCGAAGGCAGCATCTCCATCTGGGACTGATGCAGAAGGAGAGCAACATGTTTTCAATACCCCGTCAGCAGCATCTTCATTAGACACACAGATGAGACACATCTCCATTAGCTATGACATTCCCCCCACACCTGGAGGTACTTACCAGATTCCACGAACTTTTCCAGAGGGAACGTTGTCTCAGACTTCAAAACTGGAGACTATTCCAGATATTCCTCCACCTCGGCCACCAAAACCTCACCACGCTGCAGATCGATCTCCTGTGGAAACATGTAGCATTAGTCGCACTGCTTCAGACACTGATAGTAGTTATTGCATCCCTACAGCAGGAATGCCACCCTCGCGCAGTAATACCATTTCAACTGTAGATTTGAATATCTTTCGTAAAGGTCAGTGTTCCATGTTTTATCTTGCTCTTCCAGAATTTTTGTGTTAAATGATGTAATCTTGTGACGAATGATGTGATATGAATGATACAAATGGGCTGAATGATGTGAGGGGCATTTCTAGCCTTTAAGAACAAGCGTGTAGCCCTTCACAAAGCAGTCTGTGGTCGCAATGCCTAAAATACACAAGAAGAGGGAAAAGAGAAGATTATTAAAGGAAACCAGCAAAGCACAGAACATGCGATGAGGGATGCATATTGCACGGTGGCATTCAGTCTTAGCTAAAAATACTTGAAGACCTAGACATATTTATGGTGTTACTTGTCTTTAGAAGACAGCAGTGAAGAACTAATCATCTTTTTTTTTTGCTAATAAGCTCGTATAGCTGAGTTCAAGACTGCTGTTAGCAGTGTTTCAGAATGACCAAAGTGAGGTTAGCATATAGTGGTCCAAATCTGCAGAAGCTGAAGTGTTTCCTGAAGGTCAGTGGGACTTGGTGTATACCCAGAGCTTTGAGATCAACCCTGATCTGGTGATCGTTGCCACCAACCTTTATTTCTTGCAATACATATGTGTACTGCAGTTTTTATGTAAAATTTAATTTGTTCCTTATAGTCACCTAAATGTTGGTATTCCAGATGTGCTAGTGCATTTTTTTTTACTGTTTTTCCTTTAGCAGCTGGGTGTATTTCAGGTCCTACCAAATCTGGTGGAGCTACTTAAAGACGTTGGTGTTTCTTGGGGGCTTTTTCTGCCTGTTTTTTTGTTCTGTTCTTATTCAGGTTTAAACTTGAGAAATGCAGTGAGAGGTAGATATTGGGAAAGTGATATTTACTGTTACAGAGAGCAGTTGTTCTCGTCTTGTTAACCACTCTTGGGCTAAGAGTTTCGGGTTTTTTAGGTTCCTGAGGCAGGTGGGTATCACAGTGTTAGTTTTAAAGTGGAATTTTAAACTGGTTAGAGTCAATGCTAGTGTTAGAGGGGATTTTAAAGGAAAATTGTTGGGGTTGTGCTGGATACAGGATGGGAAGCTGAAATGAGGAAGGGGACAGGGACAGACCTTTTAGAGGAGGCAATATACAGAATGAATGTGATCATACAGGTGTGCAGATAATATTATCCTGTTTATCATTCATGTTGTAGGCTAAGTGTAATAATATTGGTGGTTGTTAGTGTTTTAAAATGACAAAGTAACACCCTGAAAGACCCTTGTTTGCTTTGCTTCACTAATCTTCTCTCATTTTGCTAAGTTTATAAGTGAGTACTTCTACATTAAAGCTGAGATTGTCAGCCTCAGGAAAAGTAGTCTTTCTGAAAATACTGTTTTAATTTGGCACTTAATGACAGAAGTGTTTTATTTTTCCTCTGAGGTGGAAATCTCCAAAACGCTTCAGAGCTTTTTTTCAGGGCAAGGTGGGGATAAAACCCAGAGTTTGCCCACAGTTTCTGTCTTGGCATCAGGAGGAGGCATGCTTGTTGCAGGGTAAGGCAGCTTGTTGCCTGCATGAGTGAGCAGGACCTGGGAGCCAGATGTCTCACAAACACCCCTGTCCACCAGAGAAGCAGCCACAAAGCTGAGGACCTTCTTAATGCGGACTGCCAAGAGCCAGGACCCTGCAAATGGAGAGATCTTTGCTTCTGTAGCAGTTCATTCAAACTGAAAGCCCCTGGAGACCACACTGGGGAGCTTAGAGCAGGGATTCACCTGTTCCTGCAACAGACTGAATCCTGTTGAATCAGCACTTCCCACGAGAAGGGCATTCAGTCAGAAAACCTTTCTCCAGACCCTAAATTACATCTGCTGTTTATTTTAGAATAGGTTTTTCATGAGGGCCCACTGTCTCAAAACCCACTCTTACACTAAGTTCTTACACCTGCCTATTTGAAAGGAAGACTTTGCTGCTTCTTTAAAAGGAAAAATCACTTTTTCTTTTCTTGCCATGGAAAAATGCCACTATAAGAGCTTCAGGTTGTGACTGATGAGTGCTAAGTTTGTTTGTGAACACAGTCCTCTCAAGTATATCGATAAAATCTATGGGCCACAGCTACAGGAGGTGTGTTTGTATGCTCTCAGAAGCAGACAGTAAATAACAACAGACTCTGGATGCCTGGTGCCAAGTGACAGGAACAGGGATGATAAATAGCCACTTTCTCTTCTTGTTTCTTTAGAAATTAGTTCTCAAGACTGTTACGATATTCCACGAACGTTTCCGAATGACAGATCTAATTCACTGGAGGGCTTCCATAACCACTTTGTAAGTATGACTTGATCTGATGAGAGGCAACAGTGACAGTGCTTGAATGCTCTTTGTTCCCATGTAAAAAAGCAAGCTGTATGGTGTTTGTGATTTTTCAGTTTCAGTAGAATATATTAATCTGAGTAGATTAGGTTAAAAAAACTCATATGATTCACAGCTGATTGCATAACTTATTTTGTTAAAGGAAATATATGTTAATTCTAGAAAAACAGAAGCATGTTGACAGTGGGAAGTGTTTCAAGTGAAGAACTAGATGAAAATTATGTCCCAATGAATCCCAACTCTCCTCCACGACAGCATTCCAGCAGCTTCACTGAACCCATCCAGGAAACAAACTATGTACCAATGACACCAGGCACGTTTGATTTTCCGTTATTTGGAAAGCAAGTCCCTCCTCCTGCTCACATGGGTTTCAGGTCGAGTCCAAAGACCCCTCCCAGACGGTCAGTACCTGTTGCAGAATGTGAACCACCGCCAGTGGATCGGAACCTCAAACCAGACAGAAAAGGTGAGGAAAATGTACAATAGCAGTTGATTTTTATCATCTAAGAAAATAACATAGCTTTCCCAACTTCTGATTAGTGGAAAATTATCATATTTTTAGAAATTCTAACAGAATAATTTTTATCTTATGAGATGGCCATAACATAAATGAATCCTAGGATTATTTTTAATCATATTAAAACACCACAAAAACAATGCCAAATACAAGCGTAGGTTTAAATTTTATTGCTGTAGTTACTAATGAAAAGGTGACACAGAATTGCTAACACTCAGCAGTGTTTTAGTCCTTACACATAGAAGATAGCTAGCTGACTTGTGATGGAGACAGAGCACACGAGGTATTGGATAAAATACAAATTTATAGCCATAACAGTGCTTGGTACAGGATCAGTACACGTTTTTCACTGTATGAAGTAAAAGTTAAAAATAACTTCTTTAACTATTTTAGGTATTTGCTTTTGATGTAAACATTGTTGGAAGAAATTAATTGTTTCAACAAGAATGAGTTGTATATCGTGCTGCTTTTAAGTCCTACTCAAAGTATGCAGTTACAAATTCTTACATAGAATAATTCTTACAAATGTGTTCAAATGAAGGAAGAATTAGATCAAAGAAATAGTGTTTACTACTAAAGCTAATGTTAAGTCCTCATTTCAGTCTGTAAAAGCAAGGAAAATCATTTCATGTTGGAGCTGCCTAATGCTTAAGTGTTAGTGGCCACATGGGGCAGTCACGGGAAGATGTTGAACATGTGGGCTGTGAGGTTACCATATATATTTTCTTTGGGATCCAAATGGGAGGAGGGAACTGCTAATTCAAGCCAGCTCTTAAGATACATTTGCTTTATCACAGGAGCTGGGTGCCATGGTTATGTTGAAAGTTGTATAAACTGTAGTAGGTGAAAATTTCCTTGCCTTTATAGAGTGTGGTACATTAAACAAAGTCATAAAACAAAAGGAAAACTAGCTTTATGTGGAAATATTTTAAATTGCTGAATGTGTGGAAGATGACTGTTATGCGTCTGAGGAAGCCGCAACAACTTCAATGACAAAATGGAAAAAAAAACCCAAATTTCAGAGGGCCCCTTCAAAGCTATCCTAAAAAATGAATCTCCTGAATCTTGTGCATACTGGGTTTACTTTTCCTTAAAATAAGGTTTATTTGGGTGACCAGTGTTCTTAAACAAAAAAGATACTGTTGTGATGTATCTATAAGAGATATTTGCATAGAGAATCACTAATAAATAGCTTAGACTTTCCAGTTAATCTAAAATGTTTTATCAGCCAGCCTATCAGAAATAGAGGTAAATGCTTAAGGAACTCACTTCCCTACTATGCAGTTTTTCAGACAAGATAACTAACTTTCTTGTAGAAGTGGGAAGTAAAGAACATTAGGTCAAATGTTTGCACTATTTTGTTTTCGAGTAAGTCCTATTTTTAAAATTATGTGCTTGAAAAATTAGTATTTACATTGAGAATGGCTGACTATTTTGGGGAAAACAGGATAGCAAATATTCAGATGATCCGAAACACTCACTAACTAAACCTTTACATTAGTATTTTTACCACTAAGTGAAAGAAGCCTGTAATTAAGTGAAGTAGACAATATCATTATGACATAGATGATCTCAGTGGGAAATGGGAAGTACCACATGTCATTCTGGCTGTCCATCTTCAGAAAACAAGGCATGGCCTTTTTCAAGACCTTGGCTCTCTGCTTGTATCTAATTGTTTCCATGTTACCAGACAGTAGTTTTGTTTATTTCTTAAGAAATACTGGACAGTAACAGATTGATGAAAGCTGCTACTGGCAAATATTCTCAAAATAAACACTGAACTGCTTTAAAATATTTTGCCTGACTGGCCAGTTTGTGTATTTTACTGATAAAATGTTTGACCTTCAAAAGTAGTAAATTTCTATGTTGAAAAGCTTCTCACTTTTGCTGTTGGCAGTGCAAAGCAGTCGCACAGATGTCTGCTGGGGCAGCGTTGCTGCTCTTGCATCTCTCTTCTTGAAGCTGAGTTAGTGTTTCACATTCTGAAAGTGGCATGTAAGGCTCCTGCTTTGCTCCTGACCTCAAGTGCTTTACAACTAGAAAGACCTAGCTAACATCAGGGAAAAGTTTTTTAGATGGACTAACATACCTCTTAATGAGTGTATAGTAACTGGCTGTATTTTTTGCCTCTAGAATTTTAGAAGCTATTATCACTGTAAAATAATATGATTATTTAATATAATTTAGAAGATAAAGTAATTTTAAAGTAGAACTGTCCGCAGAGGTAAATATTGTATAGTAAATGCATAGGGGCTGTAAAAAACTTCATGAAGGTCGTGAGCTACTAAGAATGGTAATGATTCTGATTTATCACTGAGGGTTTTATCTTAGTAACACACACACACTGGCTCACTCAAATTTTGTCAAGTGGACTACTGCGAGTCTTCCATTCTTGTGAAGAGCAGATACGATGACACATCAGGATGGTAATATATTCCCATTTCACTAGTTGAGTTCTTCATGCAAATAACTCCTTCCAGAAATACCTTTGGGAAAATAAAACTGCAGTTCCTTTTAAATTAGAATGGGATAAAACTCTTGTTTTAGTGGACCCTTACCTAACTAAAATGAGTGTGTGCTTTATATTATACTGTGGTGCTTTTCCAGCTTTCAAATTCTTGTAGCAACTTAAATTATCAGGTTGGTTCTGCTTATATAAATGTACTGCAATGGTCTTCTGCTACAAGTTAGGGCATAGAAAGTATCAGGTTGGCTGGTATGTTCAATAAAACTTAGGCAGACATAGAAAGGGAGGAAATGGTACATAACATAGTTACCTTCTGGGTATTTCTCCTATGAATGTTGTTTTTTAATATGCCATTGGTTCAAGAATTTCTGTTGAAGACCCTTGCTGCTTCTCTAAAAGATGGTATTACTGCAGAGTTCAGGTGTGTTGGTGATAAGGCCTCCAGGTATATGAGGGGTCATCGTATGTTCTGTCTGAAGAAGCTGCTGTATCTTTTTTTATTAGTTAGAGATTGCTGCAAAAATAGTGTTTACACTGCCTCCAAGTAACAGTTCCTTTTTGGTAGCTATCCTTGTTACTGAGAAATGTCACCATCGCCTCTCACGTGAGCATTAGCTCTAGCTCAGTAATGTTGCTGTGTGGGCTAGGGAAGTTTGTTACGTTCAGTGTTAAAAATGCATTTGACAGAAATAATGCAGTGAAACTAGCACATAAAGAAAGAATGCACTGCTTTTTGTTGTCAAATGTGTATGTGTAGCATCTCCTCTGTTTTTCCTTGGTTTAATGGCTTACTGCTTACAGGCAGTATAGTTTGACAAGGCTAGAAAATGGAGGGGTCAGTGATGGCAGTGGCCATTCTGTTGCATACAGCCTGCTCTCCCCTCTGCTGTTTCTCTTCTGTAAACCTGAGATGAAACGCATACTCAGTTACTTCTGGTTCTGCTGTCTTTGAAGAATAAGGTGTCAGGCAGCAAGGATCTGGTAATCTGTCTTTCAGCAGTAGTGACGGTAATGTGTATGTCATCACGGCTCTGATATAAGCACCTGACATTCTGGATAGTTTATTAAATTGTTAAAATTCTCCAAGTTTTTAAGAATAGGTACAGTTTTATAAAAGTAGCAACTGTGACAGGCAACTGAGTTATGAAAAAAATCAATAACATTGGTAAACTAAATGTAGGTAATAAATAGGTCTAAAATTCACTTAAAGTACATGCACATTCTTCTGAGGAGAGTACTTGTGCAGCCCTGCTGTGAGAGCCTGAGGCTCTTCAGTCTTCCCACCTGAAGGGGTAGCCTGGGCCAGGAGCCATGGTGAGATGCCCTGTGTCTTTTCCCACTGGGTTCTAGAAAAGCTTTGTTTTAGAAAATGGGTTAAAAAATAATAACAAATTTTAAAAGAATAAATATATATAGCTTTGAGATTACACTACATTTTTATGTAGTTTCATTTTTCTAGCTCACAGTCACTTCTGTAAATGAGGGGAGCTTCCAGTACTTTCTGGAAGTCTTGAAAGTCATTTCAAAACATGGTGTTGGCTTCCTGCCCCAATATAACTTGAATCAAAGGGCTTTACTATTTCTTTAGAGAAGCATACCAGAAGGTAAGTGATACATTGCTTGGGACAAAACGGAGAGCGCTTGGCCAGGTGCTTTTCTGCATTCACCTGTAATTGAATGACAAAAATAATCTTTTTTTTTTTTTTTAATTTGGTTTTTCAGGGTGCTATTTCTTTTATTATAAAGGACCATTGTCTATATTGATTTTGTATTTCTGCTTTTTGGCTGCTTTAGCTTGCCACGGGTGCATGTAGTTGTGATGCTAAATTGGAAGCATTGTTGCTAGCAAAAGGCTTCAAGTGTAAAAAATATTGCATCCATCCATGCAGCTGGGTCTTATTCTCTGAATTGTTCAAAGACTGTGACTGGTTCTGCCACAGGGCGAGTACGTGGCATTTGTGTTGACAGTCACATGTTCCTTCCTCAAAATACCATTTATCCAAGAAGGAGCAGTAGAGTTAAAGGTGCCCAGATGCAGTGAGGTGAAGACGCCCTAGACAGCTAAGGCACCAAAGAACAGCCAGGTTCTCTTTTGCTCCATCTCATGCTTTCCCTGGGGCTCTTCAAAATACCTTAAAAGGGTTGTGATGCGAGGCACTGGATCCTGGGATCTCCATCCTGCTGACAGCTTGCAGGACTGTAGCGAGCATTTCACCGCTCCACAGGGAACTGCTCCGTGTGGCAAGGCGGGTCCCAGGTGGCTGTGCTGGCAGTCCACAAGAAGGTTTTAAGGCCTGACAGAGGTCTGTGAGTCTAGATGATCTTAACCTTCAGTGCAAACATGACATAAGGCAGAGATCAAGGAAAGTTGCAGGGTCGAAAATAAAAGGGGTAGGGTGTGAATTGGTTTTTATAGGTCAGGAGGCAGCATTTGAGTGGTAGGGGGGTGTCTGTGAGCCTCTGGGCATGATAATGGCCCCCT